TTTTTTTTTAAGTATTGATCTACATTAAAATAATGAATTGAATTTTGGGAGAACTGGAGGTATAGAAGAGAAGCTCCCGGCGATTGAGGTCATCAAGGCTTATAGGATCAATTAAAAAGTTAATCCCCACCGGCCAACTAACCGTTTCATTAATCCAAATAATCCTGAACAAATACCTTTTCATCTTTATGAACGTTTACTTGGGTAATGTATAGACGGCTAATGATTAACGGGCGGCAAGTAAGAAATATGAACAAATATTGTTCGATGCACAGACCCCGGAGGAGCATGGATATATTGGTTCGTCTACCGTCTGCTTGGTTAATTCAAGAAAACTATTTAATTCCCAATGTGTATTAATAATGGTTTATTAAACCGGTGTTGGTGAGTTGATTCCCGAGACTTAATTTATGTATTAGTTGGTTCCCGGGCTTATTTAAGGCAGGTATGAATTGATTCTCAAGTATCAACGAACAATTTCGGCCTATTAGTATTACCCAGGAGATATCACAACGAGATTAGCCAAACACTTGGAGTCTCCCAAATTTTTTTTTTTTTTCGTGATTTCATAATTTGAATTATGGTAATATGATAATTTATTTATTTTCCAGAATGTACGCTAATAACAACTGCTGTTTAAAATTAATTGTCATAAACTCTTAAACGATAAAATTCTATAAAATACCATTTTTTTTCGTTACTGATATACAACAATATAATACCTAAGGGGATCCAACTCGTACTTCTTAATAGGCACGGAACAATTCACCCGTATCGATACAGATAATTAGGTACCTGGGAATCAACTCATACGCAGCCTAATAAACGGCATAAAATGTACCATGTGTACTTACAAAAACGCATTAAATATTAAAAATAACACATCAACTGCAATTGATACGAACATTTTTCTTCGACGTGTTAATTTATAATTAATCAGTTATTCCGATGAAATTGATACATTATGGTTCCCTATTTATAAACAAGCATTTTAATAATATTTAAGGGTATGAATCTTAGTTATACAAGTTTTGCTTGGAATTTTTATTGAGCGACATTTAAGTCCAATTCTACCAGAATAAATATTTAAATATTTGGAATCAAACATGCTCTTTTTGTGAACATTTAGATAAAATAATCAAATTAAAACATTTAACTAAATTATTACATTTTTTTTTTTTTTTTAATGATATCTGTTAGAGCTTCGTAGAATGTAAATATGGAAATAAAAGGAAATCATATAACTAATAGAGGAAATGTAATGTTATTTCTTCTGTAACGGGTATTACCTAAAGGGCGATAACTGATTTTTATAATTGGTAAATAATAATTTAATTTTTAAAGTAAAAAATTAAGTAGGTATAGGATATTATAATATACTATATTACATTTACGTCGCATATTAAAGTGTAATTGTAAATATTTTTTATTCAAATTTCATTTTAAGCGTTAAGATCAAATATTTTATAATAAATGCTATTTTGATGTCAAAGATGTTGGAAAGAAATAAACAAAAGATTTGATTTCCATTATATAACTTTTTATTACAGTACATTCTACTTTTTTTCTTTTTTTTTTTTTTTTGTCAAAAATAAAAATACAATAAATTGTGTTTCTTCCGCGTCTTAAACGTCCCCGAAACGTAACACACTATAATGCATTCGTCACAAACGGATTTTAAACGCGTACATATACGCTCATACAAATATTGTACAATCGCTAGCTAAGCAAGCACTTTTATCCATTCATACGAGCTAGTATTAATATACACAGTGTTTAAATGTATATTGTGTGTGTACGCCTGTATGTAATGGTGTGTACGCAGGGAAGACGAAAAAAACTACTCGTACACAATTCTCTTCACTCGATCTATTTAATATGTATCAAATGTATATTCTGTGGGAACCTCGATTTCCAAACGACGTGCATTTATTATTGAAAAAGAGTATTCTTCGGTTTAGGGATACACACACATATATATATATATATATATATATATATTTTAATAAAACATAAATGGGGAGCTATTATTTTCTCGATATTTTATTATTGAAAAAAAAAAAAGCTAAAAAAATAATAACCAGAAATGACTTTTGGGCGTATTTGCGTGAGGGGAATAATTCATGTTGCATTAGTCCTGCTGTTGCTGCAGCTCAGTTCTCATACATCCCTAAGTCGAAACCCTCGAGAACATAAGGAACACGTGTATATCGTCGTCCGAGAAAACGAAGGATATTAAATGCGCACGAAACGCAGTATGAAACGCGGTGGATAACCGTTTCTCGTGAAACCAATTTAATATTGAGGGATTTTCAATATTCGTTTATACCGATGCCGGACACCGGCTTACACCGGGGTATTGGGAGGAGATGACTTTTGGTTTGGACAGATGAAAGACCTTTTTCTAATACACTCTATCGCCGTTTACGCGTACCAATACATTATTATGGTATACAAATATATATTGTACTTGTCATTCTTATACATTGTACACATCTATATAAATCAATTAATTGTCCCGTGTAGTATGTAAGAGAATAACTTGAGAACAGCTTGACCGATTGAACTGATTTTTTTGTTGTATCCGTAGTTATCTGGACAAGATTTGTACGAAAGAAAATTTTTATAAAGTCTACGGAATAAGTCGAACATTTGTCACTAATAATTATATGATACATGACGTCTTCGATGGTTTGTGTGCGATGGATTCCAAATTCAATGCATCAGCTGCACGAGTTGCGCATCTACAGTCGTGTCTTAAGGAATCACACCTTTAACTGATTTAGATGAAATTCGTTACAGAGGTGGATTGTACCTTAGAAAAGGGCATAGGCTACCTTTTGTCGCGAAAAAAGAAACACCTGATTAAACCTGAACGGGCAACTGTTGTTTTTTTGTTACTATAACAACTGAAGAAACTGAAAAAGGAACCCCGCCGTCACACACCTGAGTGCGCACCTAGAAAACGGTGAACGCATATATTTTACTGAAAATAATTGTCTACAGCTACGAAATAAAACAGGGTTGAAAGAGAACTTCAATCAGATCATGGCAAGAAACAAAGCTCAAAAAAACAGAACAAGAGAGATTCGTGCACAAGTATCTTGAGAATAGCGCCATGAACGTTTGTGATAAATAATATTGAGAACATGGATTGACAGCGCCATTGACAGCTCATAGTCACATTTAGAGCACGGGATTGAGAGATAATGTGAATCAGCCGTCCATTAACATGTGCATCATTTGTTAGTATTAAGTTTGAATATGCGCCAGGCATTAATTCTTTGCGCATTTTAAAATTACTGTCGGTGCAATGATCAAAGTATACCAATTTTGTCAGGCGTTAATATTCAGCAACGAACAACCCGAAATGTGTTGCGCATCGGGAAAAGTTATACTTCGTTATACTTTTTACTCCGCCCGAGCTTTTAAAGTTACTTCTTGCTGGTCAATCAGACGAATTATCTTTGTGCAAAACACGCAAATTAATTTCTTCCTTCCAAATTACGTCATATAGAACAACCAACATTTGCGGTTTCACAACAGATGAACGTAATATTGAAACCATACGATTGGATCGTTGATATCATCGCCTATTGATGACCTGAAATTTCTCCAAATCTATTTTATGGGCAATTGTGAAGAACGCGTGATAATAACTTGGTGCCAGTATAATTTTGTCGAACAAGGCGAAGAGAGAGCAATTGTGGGAGCGTGGGAAGATTTCGTAGAAATTCCTAATCAATTTATTTAATTGTTTTAAATAGTGTAATCGCAATTAATAAATGACAATTATCAAATATCAAATCTTCAGGACTTTGCTGTTCAGGAGGGAAAATTTTTTTGGACCCGAACTACCTGAACCGTTAAAAAATGTCTTAAATTGTTCTCATAGAGATCCAAAACATCATTTGTATAATTCGACTGTTCAAATGACATCGTTTGATGCAACAGAAATTAAGCATGGAAACTTTAAGTCAACATTTTAATTCAAGGTAAATTTTACCATTTGGCTGGTTCTCTATTACCCAATAATCCAGTAGAAGTTTTTATGTAATAAATTTCACGGGTGATTCAGATAATGAAATAAAAAAGGCGTTTTTCTGTTGCTCCTGATATCGATATAAAATATTGTTTGATTTACAAAACTACGATAATAATATTTTTTTATTTGCTAACAGTAATCCTGCCTGACATAAAGATAAACATTTATTCTCATGGAAGAAGTTAGATAATTTAGCTAGTATAGCATATACGCGTACATTATAACAGGTCATGAGTCATAACATGAGATATGGCGAACCGTATATTTATAAATATACACATAAAAAGAACGAGAGAAAGAGAGAAGCCTAAATTAAATATAATATGTATGCGTTATATATTCTGTTGTTCTGGACCCCTCTCTTCGACGAGACCGATAACACGCAATATGTAACTAATAATTTTACAGTCGGAACACTAAATAGGTGTACCCGAAATCTCGAAAGTTGTAAATTGGGAGGAAAAAAGAGGGTAACAAGAGAGCAGCGGCGACGGAGATGGGGAAAAAACTTCGGAGCGAACGATCGCATTTATACACCGGTACACGTTGGCGTACGGCTGTGTGCAGAGTGAGGGGGGGGGGTTCCCGATCGGGAATTCGTACACATATACGGACGCAAAACAAAGGGTTATGTATTGTTACACACATATTCAATTTGGAAAATGGCTACCCAAGGAATAACCCGTCGCTTTTTCTTCCTCTCCCTCCCCAGGGCCAAACGGTCGGTTTTCATTTCCACGCGTTTTCTACTCTTCGGCGCGCACGATTTATTTAACACCCGTTTTCCTAACGTCGGATGCATTATGGAACAGAAATGTTCCATTTTCTTTCTTTACGAGTGACACGCGACTACTGTATACTGCCGCACGGCAATGCTGCGCACGGTATGTGTGCATAAACAACGTACGGCCAGGGCTGTAGGATTTGATTTTTAATATTCACACGTCTGACTTACCGTTTTCTACTATGTTCAACATCGTCGCACCAGTCGGATATTTTACAATATCGTATTTTCTATGGACATCCATCCCAGGCGTCCATTATTGAAATTGGTGCCCATCTGAAATCGAAAAATGTGAATGTTAGCGTCATTTAACGTGATCAAGTTATAGATTTTTTTTTATCTTTACGATCTCGTTGTTATAATAATAATAATTATTATTTTCAATATACGTCATTAAATAAATTTATGAAACACATAAAAATAAATTATACACCAAATGTATCGCAGCATACCAGAGTTATTTATATATATATATATATGTGCGTGTGTACCGATTGGACCAATTCAACATCCAAAGAATATTTTATAATGTCGAGTTAAATCTCTAGATTTTTTTTTTTTTGCATTTCGTCGAGAACGTGCCGATAATCACGAAGTTCTTTTTTTCCGACTTCTAAATAATCAAAGAAATCCCTAGGCTAAAAAAAAAGTTTTTACAGTAATTCCCTATGCAGAACTCGTTTTAAGGTTAAATTGTCCACCTGTTCCACCGATAAAAAAAAAAAAAAAAAAAAAAAAAAAAAGACCAATATTATTTCTTCTTCCCGACAGCAATTTTTCCCTCATACGTTCGTGTATACTTGTGTGTGTATTCTTGTCTGCATGTATATTGTATGTATGTGTATGTACGTCTGCGTATGTGTTAGTGCGTGTGAGCGTGTGTTCAAAATATAATGAACGCATTTTATTTCAACAAAAAGGCACGTCTCGATGGTACACTCAATCAACTTCAATTCACCACCACCGACGGGCGTCGGCATTTCCTCGGCCTTTCCCTGTGCCGCCGCTGATTGCGAACCGAGCACTCGTTTGCTTCATTTGCCTTTACATAAAACCTAACCGCATTATAATCACGTATGCGCGTGCTCTTCACTACCAACTGCTACTCCGATAGTATATAGAGTGCGAAATAAAATACGAATATTTTTATTTTTTCCTAAAAACGGATCATCTTTATCCATAAACACGTATACTACACATACGTGTATATATTCGTAGTGTATACGTGTGTGTGAGTGAATGCAGACGTACATTTATATAAAATCTGATTTTTAAGAACGACTAATGAAAGAAAACCTTTTCATGGTCGATTTGGTGTGCACCTCAATAAGAGGTTCGATGTCCCCCTCGCTACAGTTATACTCGTTGTTGTAAAATATATACATCGCATCGTATCTGTATTTGAAACGAATTTAATACTATATACAACGATGGCGATATGTAATGACAACAACAACAACAACAACAACAACAGTAACAATAATAATAATGTAGATGGGTGACCGTCGACTTGGGAGGGGACGAGAGCATGGCTGCAGCTGATAGTTTATCCACGGTCTCCTGAACCCAATCAACAGTCCCTTTTTGGCGGAAACGAAGGGCAATCGTTTCATTATGGTTCATTGTCGGCGGCGGTCGATAGGCAATCGTCACAATTAGGTCGTCCTTTGAGAAACGTGTTTTTACCCGCTCCGTCTCAATCAGTACGGAATTTATATAACACGAAGCACCCTGCAGTCCTTCGTGAATCCGATGTGAATTTTCAATTTTCGACCTTTTTCCGTTCTACACACACACACATAAAAAAAACTCACAACTATGTACATAAGAAACAGTTTAATTCTTGCAGTAGTGATTTCATCAAAAAGCACATATTTTACTCTTAATTTAAAATGGGAACAATACTTTTATAATGTTTTTTAAATTACACTGGATTCGTGATGTTTTTTTTTTTGAATTATAAATAAATGTAAAAATCTTAAATAAAACTGATTGCATTATAATTATTAGGTTATATTATTAATTGTTTAATAATTTACACCATTAATGAAATTAAACAAGTATCAGTTCTACACAAAATTATATTTTACTATATTCCGAGAGAATTTATCGAGTTCAATTATATAAAAAAAGGAGTATTTTTGGACTGGTTTCATTCAATTAGATTTAGAACAATGTTAAATTTGGAAGAAAGACAATTCTATAAAAGGTAGTGTGTTACATTATATTATAGTTATACATTATTCTTTTTATGTTACCAATTCCATTTTTGAATCCTAAATAGATATACAATATACTAAAGTATAATTTTTTATGTTAACACAATAACACCTTAGCTGAGCAGAATATTTTATTTGTATTGTGTAGAACGTTAAAACCGTTTTTAATCTAATGGTGTATTAAACACAAACTTGTAATAAATGGGTTCATTTTCGATTTAGGCGTATTCTTTGGTACAAAAAACTAAATGTGCATCGTCATAAACATCCGGGTTAATTAAATGAGTCTAATGGGGGTTTTTCCAGGAATACAATGGCCACCCAATGCTTGAAAATGGTAAACAGATGGTATAAAACCAAGTAGAAATCTGTAAGTGTTTTATATAAGAATAGCGAAAAAGAAAATTACCGAACATAATTATTCCACAGGACGTGGAGCAGTAAATAAGTTAGAAACTGATGGAACAAATATTTCAATAAACAGTCGCACTACCGCGGCCGTCGTATGGACGTGTCGACATTTGAATATTGAATTAAATCCATTTGAAAATGTAGGCATCCCATAAATGGACTCTAATTATCGTATTAAAATCATGTATACGGGGTGGGTTTGAATAAATCAGCAGAAATCTACCGCAATAATCTAGCCTAACCAACAGCGGTCAAGATGAATTCAAAATCGTTTTAGTTTCAATGAAAACCTATTCCCCCTTTTTAGACCTAGGATAACATTTTGAAAAGCATAAGTTGGTAGTTTAATTTTTGAAATGACTGAACAACACGAAATGGAACAAGGGATAAAATTGATGTATCATTCGTTTAATGAATAACAGAAAAAAAAGACTCCCTAAAGCACAGTAATAATTTTGATGAAAGCACCTCTACATTTATATGGCAACGACTCTCACTCTCCCCCACAGTAGCGAACAATCCGAAAAAAAAGCCATTAGGTTTTTAAAATTTAATGAAATGTTTATAATTAAATATTACATAGTTGTGTTAGGTGTTCAACAGCAATGGCGCCGGGTTTCCTCGATTAATTTAAAAAATAATAATAATGGAATTGGATTTCCCTCACTCCGCCGCTTCCACTAACTCATTTTTTTAATGAATTTTATAGTGACGTACAATGCGTACGTTGTGATGTTTGAATTTTGCTGACTGTTATTAATTCTTTTCAAGACTCATCGATCTGATGAAACCTTTATTAATATGGGATTTAAAAAAATAAATAAAAAGAGGAAATGGAATAGGAGCTCGTCGGAACAGACTGGGGAAGACCGGAAATTAGCGACGGAAACGCCTTTGGGTACCACCAATGCAAAAGGGGTGGAATCCGTAATGTATATTTGGGTGTTTATGTGCGTGTGCGTGTATCATGCGTGTGTATACGTTAGGTATATATTATGTTTGCATGCGACCAATCAAATATAAAAACACAAGCGGTGTAACGCTAAAGCGTATAATATTGGAACTTAATTTTTAATTTTGTTCTATGAATGATGATGAGGTTTACGTGCATAAATAATCATCGACCAAAAAGTTGTCTGGGTAGTTTAGTACATAAACGTGTATTAAGCCGCGTGTGCTCAAGTGAGTACAACGTTTTGTTTTATTATGAGGAATGTTCAACAAAAAAAATTAATGATATTTCGGAACTATAAATTTAAATTTCAGTAAAATCATGTTTGTTTGATTTGTGTAAACGAATAAATTTCGAGTTCACGACCAACTAATTAGGTATACACGATACGCTCTACGGCATAGGTATTGATAATGTATTAAGAGTAAAACAACACAACTCGAGTAGGAATAAAGAATAATAATAATAATAATAATAATAATAATAATAATAATAATAATCATACCAAAATAGTAGCGAATTTCCTACGATAAATCATCCATCCCTTCTAACTTTTAATATAACCTATGATTGATGGTGACAAAATAAAAACACATTTTTCGAAAAACATTAAGGTTTTACGTAATAAAAGTAATCGAGGCCAAACAAAATACACGAAAAACTTGGCCAATTTGCTTAAGTGTTTTCTTTCGCGTAGTAACACCCGGAGCGTACGACGTACATAACACTCGTATTATAACACAGTACGCATACACCGACGGTTGCCTTTAGACTACGGTGTATAGTACAGTTTCAAGGGCGATTTCAGATTAGGGCCGAGAGAAAACTCATCGATATTCTGGTGGAATTGATTTCGATCGAAGCACGACGGATGTGCGACCGCGGACGAACACGTAGCCGATATTGAAGTAATTTTATGTTTTTATTTTTTTTAAAAACGTTTTATCTGCATTCGTGAGTGTACGCGGTTAATTGAATTCGAAATCAGTCGACACACTATCAGTAATTAGAAAAAAATAAAATAAATAAATAAAACGCCGTCAGTGAACGCCACTCTTGAAACACGCGTTTAAACATGCATTGAAATATACGTATATACGAGTACGTAAACGCGTTTATCACGGGTCGGATAAGGCGGCGGCGGCGTGCTTCAGACCGGCAGGGTCTGGGAGCGGGAGGGGAACAATGAATATTGCACGGGATTATTGGTAATCCCACTAAAAGCGTCAGTTTGATCAAATTTATGCTGTCCCGCTCGTGCGTCCAATTCGCAATTAGCCGGCACACGTTTGGCGCGCGCGCGCCACCCACCCCTACCTCCACACCTTCAACCCGCACCGATCGCCGTGCGTTCTATCCTGCACCGCCCCACGCCACCTCGTCCGGCGGTGGAAGATCTCATTCGTCGTAAAAGCTTTTGCCGGGCGGAAAACCCATTCGTATTGTTCATTAGCGTTGATGAAAATAGCTTTTCCACCGAGGCAATCAATCCAAAAGAGAGCGAAAGACTGAGAGCGAGTGCACGGACGCGCGCGCGCTCGCGCTCCCGTGTATGTGTGTGCCCGAATGAACGGGATAGAAAGAGACCGGTCGGGACACGGAGGAATGGGCGGAGAGAGTATTGATTCTCCTAGCCCCCAGAATTAATTTGTAGAGTGGTTTGCGGTTTTTTCCTCCCCACCGTCCACCACCAC